ATTCAATTTGATCATTAATTGGTTTTTTCATTAATGAATAGTTATGTCAATAAGTTTCCAATTCAAAACACGAAAGAGCATTCCATCCCTGTATCAAAGTAGAGCTGTTTTATCTGGTGTAAGGGAGTGTCAAGGGATTAAGTCTTGTCAATATTGGATCCAGCGGTTGTCTGGGGATTTTGTCCCATCAATATTTTATTCCTTCGGAACTATTCGAGATAATTGTTCCACGACATGTAGAGGAGGATGGTTGGTTTGATCTCTTGTAGAGAAATTGATTTTACCTGACAAGTTTTGTGTGTAGTTGTCATGGTCTGATTACAGAACATGCAGTTATTGCAGGTATGCTAATTACGGACAGGTAAGTTAATGAGGACAGATACATTGATGAATGTTTAGGTCTTAAAATGAATATCGATACAGTTAAGAAAAGTTAATGTAGCTGAGATCTAGGTTTTAATATCGTAAATTAGGTGATACACAAGATGTAGTAGAACAGAATATATACCGGAATAGCTAGATACAAGTTCATACAGATGTCAAACTTTGAGACAGTAACTAGAACGTAATGATAGAGGCTTGAAAGATTAATCAGATTGATGAGATGAGAACCAGATTAATTGTAACCAAGTCAACAGGTACGAACTTCTGTATGTGGCAGGTGTGGCCAGGTACCAGGCAATATTGTTAATAGTCATTACATTTTTTTTTACAAATTTATTATATCAAAGAGATGATGGAATGAGGGCATAACATTAAATTTTCATCCAAAAATTCCTAGAATGAATTGGATGCTGACAGCAAGTAACAGATCAGTCAATTTCCAGATTTGTACACATGAAATGGACAGACTTCATCCTAATTTAATTATGTCTTGATCATTTATTTATTTATTTATGTTTGGGGTTTTGTTTTCCTCAATTCTCATGCCAGGAGTGATTTTGTTTTATATCTGACTTCACCATTAAATGTAGTCAGTGTTTACATTGTAAGTATAAATCTAAGACAAATTTGTTTTAATCCTTGCCTTTGTCTACAGACAATCGAGGGCTTTAAAATGTCTCTTATGTTACAGCTATGTTTTAAAGTTTCGTGTATTCATGTTCCAGGAGTCTATATCTGAAATGTGTGTACTTGATTCAGCTGTGTTAACCGTGCTCTGTACAGTCATACAAAGATGACTTCTTCAGTGAATAGCACACCGTCTGAGTAGTAATGGATACTTGGCAATGGTGTCTTCTCCGTTCTTTAAAGATCTGTTGCATAATGATACATGTACACAAAGCCAGTTTAGACTTTTGGAATGACGGGACAATATGGACCGGTACAATCTGACATGACAGGCTGATTTTAAAGTCACCTGATTTTTGATGAACAGAATAAAAGAACGGGAAAAAAAGCATTGGAAATATTTACAGTGAACCTGCAACATACATATTTTATTTTGTGAACACAGTAAGCCAACTTATGTATCAGCACAAATATTGTGCTGATTTGATTAAGCACTGGGCTAACCTCACAGGTGAGGCTTAGAAACGCCACAAATTTTCTTCTGGAATTCTATATGTTCACGGTGATACAGGAAAATGAATTCAGATGTTCTTTTTTTGTGAATACTTTGAGTTGAGTCAAAGAAGTGTTTATATATAAGCATAAAAACTATACAGGGAGACAAGCATCTATCCAAAATTTGTGGAGTATACTTTATCTGTGCTGAAATTCAGAGCTGGACATGGATTATTCATATCATTGTAGTTTGGAGGAATTCTATGCAGGAGAAAAAAAAAATCAAATCATGTACCAAGTTCTTGTTGGATCAGTGTTTTGAATTGAGGCTGTGGATTTGATATGGAATTTCATGAACAGAAAGTTTTTGGTGTGAATTACTTTTCTCTGTAAAGAAATGATAGAGGAGTATTACCGTGAAAGTGCTTGATAGGAATTGTGTAATAAAACTAGCAACCACCTGGAACTTGTATAATACATGTAGCCATGAGTGCCAAATCTAGGCTCGTTCCAAATCGTCGTTGTAAGACTGCAGCCGCGTATAGGCCGAGGCGGTCAACATGTGATACTTATTACACTAACTATGTCCGCCAGACAGGTGGGAGAAACTTTGAGGTAAGTAATCATGTCCATCACATTCAGGCTGTCAGGTGTTGTAATAATGTTTCTATGTGGACTCAACCATTCCCAATGGTACAAACAAAGGTCGCACAGCTTTCAGGCCACATGTGTAACAAATACCTACATGCAGTCTTTAAAGGTTGACCTCATTACATTTATATGAACCTGTCTATAAAGATTACCTCTATATAGCAAATACCTGTCTATAAAACCCAGTGGTTTTTAGACAGTGCATAATTCTTGAACCTCTATATAAAGGCCCCCTGCCTATAGAGGTCACGTTTTCCCCTCTCTTTAGTAGAAATTGGAGACATGTTTGACTAGTAAAAAAGATTCGTCGTTGTATTATTTAATAAACAACCTATATTACTACAATATATTCAGCTGGAGTCCATGGATCAGACCGGTGGTATAATCCTGAAATGTCATTCATTATTGGGCTCTCCTGTATCTACTTCTAAATTGGTATTGATAGGTGCTGATCATTTGTGTCATTTGGACAATCTTTCTTCATTAATTCATTAATTGTCCACTTTCCGATGTTGAGTATAAGAATTTTGTACATGGTGCTCTTGTAAGTGAAAAAACAGGTGAAGTCATTTCTTGAGTCAATTAAATTTTTATCTGGTTTGTCAGTGTTTTGACCAGGTCTCTTTAGACATCTCTCCAATCGACCATAACTGTAGTTTTGTTTCCACAGAAAACGTGTTACTAAATATACTGTACTTATGTCATTCTACTATAACACCTAATGTCATATCACTGTAACACCTAAGAATTCAGATGTCATTCATATCTGCTATGAATAACATGTACATTATCATTTTAACAATCATTGTATACTAGTTGAGACCATCTCTTGAACTGATGACCGTTCTTTTTATCAAATGTACCTACAGAACTTTATTACTAGATTACAGGCTACAAAACTATTCAAAATAGATGAACTTAAAAGAAAGATAATCATGGTTTTGTTTGTGATAGGAATATTTTCAAATCACTTTATGAACTGCCTGATAAAACATTCCATTTGTTATCCTATAAGAGTAAACAGAACACTGATTACCTGTATAAGTATAAATTATCTTAGATCTGTCTTTTTTAACCTACCGTCATTAGTTGGCTATTCAAATCCTTATTGGGAAACACTGTTAGGCTCTCCACAGCAACTGGTTCAGTGCCTGTTTAATTTTGGGACTGATCAACAAAATATCTGACAATTAGCCATCTTCAATTTTGACAATAAATGTTTGTTATCTCTATTTCTTGGTAAGTATGAATGGATATTTTTCTAATTACATATGTAGGTTCCCTTTGGTCCCTAGTTGGGTCTGTTTCACTTTCTGACTGATCAGTGGAAAAAAATAGATGACAGACAGTCATCTTAAATTTTGACAGCGAAAGTTCATTATAGCTATTTCTTGAAAATTGCAGAATGGATTTTTCTCATCTTTCATAGTTAAGTTCCCCTTGGTCCTTAGTTATGTCTGTTTGATTTTGGGTCTGACAAGAAAGACCAGACATCTAACAGGTGACCATCTTGGAGAAAAGATTAATTTTGTCCTATCTGCCTCTCCTGTTCCATTTTGTCTTATCTGCCTCTCCAGTTCCTTTTTGTCCTGTCTGCCTCTCCTGTTCCATTTTGTCCTGTCTGCCTCTCCTGTTCCATTTTGTCATATCTGCCTCTCCTGTTCCATTTTGTCCTATCTGCCTCTCCTGTTCCATCTTGTCCTATCTGTCCTGTTCCATTATGTTCTATCTGCCTCTCCAGTTCCTTTTTGTCCTGTTCCATTATGTTCTATCTGCCTCTCCAGTTCCTTTTTGTCCTGTCTGCCTATCCTGTTCCATTTTGTCCTGTCTGCCTCTCCTGTTCCATTTTGTCCTATCTGCCTCTCCTGTTCCATTTTGTCCTATCTGCCTCTCCTGTTCCATTTTGTCCTATCTGCCTATCCTGTTCCATTTTGTCCTATCTGCCTCTCCTGTTCCATTATTTTCTATCTGCCTCTCCTGTTCCATTTTGTCCTATCTGATTCTCCTGTTCCATTTTGTCCTGTCTGTCCTGTTCCATTTTGTCCTATCTGCCTCTCCTGTTCCATTATGTTCTATCTTCCTCTCCTGTTCCATTTTGTCCTGTCTGTCCTGTTCCATTATGTCCTATCTGCCTCTCCTGTTCCATTATGTTCTATCTGCCTCTCCTGTTCCATTTTGTCCTATCTGCCTCTCCTGTTCTATTTTGTCCTATCTGCCTGTCCTGTTCCATATTTGTCCTGTCCATCCAGTCTTGTTCCATTTTATCCTGTTTTGTCCTGTCCATCCTGTCCTGGTCCATTTTATCCTGTTTTGTCCTGTTCATCCCGTCCTGGTCCATTTTATCCTGTTGTGTCCTGTCCATTCTGTCCTGGTCCAATTTGTTCTCTTTTGTCCTGCTCCATTTTATCAATGTCTGTTCTATCCCGTCATGTGCTATCATATCCTTTCCCATCCTGAATTGCTCTAGCAACTTAATTTCATTGGAGATTTTGAGTTTGTGTTCCAGTACTTGACAATGTGCCAATTGGTAATTATAGATAGTAATTGATCAATTCAGTAAAATCTATTTATAACTTTGTTTCCCAAATTTTTTTTTATAAAACTATTTACAAATCTTATGTATAAGAATACCTTTGTTGTGTTCTTGTTTGAGGGTTTCAAGGTCAATGCTGTTTCCATTTATAGACCATCAACATAATTTCTAAAAAGGTTTTGATCGTTAGATAAACTTTGATTGCGATTGTATTTTAGAGTTCCAAGATCATTATTATTACTATTAACAGAAGTTTGACAAGTAGTGATTCATATCGTACATACACTTACTTGGGCTACATTATTTTTAGGCTAACACAATGCAGAATGCTGTCATGGTGCTGGGAATTCATCGCTCGAAGTCCGAAGTAGACATCAACAGTATTATTTCCAATGATTCTACAACTTCTTTGAAGGTAAGAATGAGTAGTAATATATTTTGATTTCTTTTTTTTCTGTTTTGATGTAATGAATGAAGCAGTTTCTATTCTGTAAATATCAACATTAATTTCTAATTATCTTTATCCAGTTCATCTGTATACTTAAATACATACAATGAAAAAATCCTATAGGGTGACAGAATAGACAGGTTTATGTTTCAAATAGTCTGTCGATAAGGATGTCAGATTAGACAAGTTAGTCTGTCCAATATCTTGTCTCACAGGGTGTCAGATAAGACAGGTTGATCTGTCCAACAGCTTGTCTCACAGGGTATCAGATAAGATAGGTTAATCTGTCCAACAGCTTGTCCCACAGGGTGTCAGATAAGACAGGTTAATCTGTCCAACAGCTTGTCCTACAGGGTGTCAGATTAGTGTCCAACAGCTTGTCCTACAGAGTGTCAGATAAGACAGGTTAATCTGTCCAACAGCTTGTCCCACAGGTGTCAGATTAGACAGGTTAATCTGTCCAACAGCTTGTCCTACAGAGTGTCAGATAAGACAGGTTAATCTGTCCAACAGCTTGTCCCACAGGGTGTCAGATTAGTTAAGACAGGGTAATCTGTCCAACAGCTTGTCCTTCATAGTGTCAGATAAAAGAGGTCGATCTTGTCAATCTGATCAAATGTGACTGAAAATATTTTCAGACAGAATCAGAGATACAGAGAAGGTTAAGGTAGAAAATTGTAAGGAATCATCTTTTGTGATATTTTGTGTTATTTCAGCGGTCACAGACACATGTGTTTGTGTCAACAAAAGGCGGTGAACATATCAAACCAGAGACAATGTCGTTCATGCGGGAGGAGGCAAGGGTTGCAACAACAACTGTACCCAAGAAAGGCCTGATCAAATTGACAGCCCTAGAAAACGAACTCGATGGAACATTCAATTTTGGTATACATGAGCGTGATGGTAAGGCCACCGAGATATACTTTAATAATAAGAACAATATATTTTTGTTAAATATGAGATATGGAAATCTGATCTTAGAGATCCTCATTTTTCATTTGTATTTCTGTATATGATTGGGGGAATATATATTTACTTTCACCATTTTTGAAAAAGAAACACCTTTCTTCAATCTTACAAGTTTACGACTCAAAATACGGTCAAAGCTTATAACCATCTAACTATTTTGTCTCATATTCATTGTATTGTTCATCCATCACATGTAATACTTAAAAGATAATAATTAAATTCAGGTCAAAACGAGGTCAAGGTAATATGTTGAAATTCTGATTACAGACCTAATGAAAAAAGATGCTTGGAGAAAATAATTACATGAACTTACCAAAGGATAAAGTGATTTGGACTAGATCTTTGTCAAATTCTATATCTTTAAATATGATGTAAATATCGTTAGCAAGGTTTAAAATTCGCACTTTGGTATTTTTGAAAGATACGTCAGATTTAGAGGAGATTGAGCGCCAAAGACGTAAACACAGTGTGACTCTAGGCAAACAGAAGATGCTGATCCGACGAAAGAACATTCAGGAACAGATATTGGCCGGGAAGCAAATCTTGGAAGCGGAGGAAAGACAGAAGGAAGAGGAGGTAGACATGGAGAAAGCACTGGAGGAGTACACAATGGGGGAGCTATCCCAGAATATCACACAGTATATTGTAAGTAGGGAGGTTCACCATGGGGACTAGCCCAAAACATTTCACAGCATATTGTAAGTAGGTAGTTCACCATGGGGAAACTATCACTGAACATTTCACAGGATATTGTATGTAGGGGGTTCACCATGGGGACTAGCCCAAAACGTTTCACAGGATATTGTAAGTAGGGGGTTCACCATGGGGACTATCCCTAAACATTTCACAGCATATTGTAAGTAGGGGGTTCACCATGGGGAAACTATCGCTGAACGTTTAACAGCATATTGTAAGTAGGGGGTTCACCATGGGGAAACTATCACTGAACGTTTCACAGGATATTGTAAGTAGGGGGTTCACCATGGGGAAACTATCACTGAACGTTTCACAGGATATTGTAAGCAGGGGGTTCACCATGGGGAAACTATCACTGAACGTTTCACAGGATATTGTAAGTAGGGGGTTCACCATGGGGAAACTATCACTGAACGTTTCACAGGATATTGTAAGTAGGGGGTTAAACATGGGGAAAATATCCCAGAACATCATGTAGTATATTGTAAGTAGTAGGCTCATCATTGGGAGACCATCTGAAACATCCCATCGTAAATTGTTAGGTTTGCTTGTTTTGTTTCCTAGGTTTATCCCCCTGTGAACAATGAAATGATTGTTTTGAGACAAAGTCTCCTTGAATGTATAGTAGCTGGTGGCTTCCGCACTGAACAACATTTGGGAGGACCATCACATGCCATCCAGAGCAATTTGGGTCCATTGTAATGCCACAACCATGGCAGCACACACCGGCCTGTTTTTCAGCCTCTGGAGAAATACAGCTGGGAAGTAAATCTGAGTAGCTGATCAGTTTTGTGTTTCTTAGGCAGCTCAGCATGGTCTCATATATTAATTTGCAAGTCTAAATTGCTGACTATTTGTGCTATTAGGAAACCAAACTATCAACTATACCAGAAAATCACAACGATTATGATTAAGGTGTCGGACAAAAAAATCATCAATACTAGATTAATTATCAAGCATCTACTTTTATTTCATTATATTAAGGCAGTATGTTATGTGTTTACAGGGTAGTCATAAGAAGAGAGTTGGGTCAAGCTTGATGAATGAAAAATCTAAGTCCAAAGTATATGAACAAGAAGAGGAACAGAAGCAACAAAGGGCAATAACTCTACCTGCTATAAACACACTAAATATCAATGTGTTTGGGAGCTAGTGGTGTGAAAATGCACACCATGTGTGAACTGTGTAAGGACATTTGTTTGGTAATCCAGTCATCGTCTTCAGAGAGACACATTTTGTGCCTCTATTTGGTTGGCAACTGGTTAATTTACGCAATATTTAACTGCCATTCCAATAGGGATAATGGACTTCAAGTGGAACTTGTTTTGAAAATTTTATTACAAACTACATCTGGACTTTTTCATGTAAGCATGTACAGATATATTTGTCCATTATAAGAATCCTATAATTATGTTAACTTTTACAGTTGTATTACATGCCTTAACTAAGTTCTAAAGTTTGTTTCTAAAATTGTTTATCAATTTTAGTTGTTGTTTTTTTACCTACAATTTTTGTCTATTACTTTTTTTCTGTGTACGGGTCAGAGGTCACCAAGAGGTGAGGCCACCATCAAAAAGGAGAATTTATAATGATAGTTAGATACATATCACATATGGATGTAAATGTAAATTTTGAGAAAGCAATGACATCCTCACATTTTGGTGAATACATGTATAGTTAAATCAATTGTAAGATTCTGAATAAGGAATCTTCTAAGGCTGTTTCTGTTGAAATTAAACTTTGAAAAGTTCTTTTATTTTAAATCTCTTAGGTGGAATTCAGTATTTCAATAGTTTGGGGAAATTCATTAAATAGGGTTTACCTGGAATAACAGAAATAATTACATTTAATTTAGAAATATGTGGATAAGATGTGATTAATAACCTGTCAATTTCATTGTAATTTATTCAGTTTTGTTTGCTTTCGAAAGGTTTTGGGGTTTTTTTGTTTTTTTGTTTTTTTTTATTGATGAATGAATTGGTGAGTGATAATTGGCAGTTATGTACATAAAGATTTGTTGATTTGAAATTAGAAAGAAAGAAGATTAAACAAGCAATTATGTTAGTGTCCTGTATATACGATGTAGTTACCACAGAGCAAAGGTGAGAGAAAGAAAAACCATAAGCATCCTTTATTTTCATTCTGTTTTATTTATAGTTGTCTATAAAGGGAAACAACCCAAATAGTCTGCAGCAGACTTCTTTTTAAAAGTAAGTAGAATCATGGGATTTTTTTAAATGAGATCTGTTTTAAAGGAGTAATGTTATTATGTTCCAATAATTTTATATCATTTTGTGCCGGATTTTTTTTTTAACAGTTTTCAATTTTAGTTGTTTATTCTCTAGAATCTGATCTTATAGGATTCTACTTCAAAACATGAAACAACATATTTTTTTTATCTAGTCAAAATGTTTTAAGATATTTACATTTCAGGATGTGATGTTTTGAAAACACTTTTTTACATATATGTAGGTACACATTTAAGGAATTTTGTTGTAGGGATTATGTTTTGAAAGGAAATTATCCAAACAAAGAATTAAGTTATATTAAAGCATATGATAGGTTTTACAGTACATTTTGATGATGTTGAGTTAGAGTGGCAAATCATTTTTGAAGGGGAAATTTTCAAGTTTCGTAATTTATACAAGAAGGTGAATGACATTTTTTGTACTTTTTCTTCTTTTTTCTGGTATGTATTTTCAACTTATTTTCAATTTTTAGGAATTACGGATAAGATTTTTGTTCTACAAATATATTGAAATTTAGGATAAGAAGGGAATGACACTTTCAAATGAGAATTAACCGTATTTTTTTGTATCTTTTTGTTTTTCTATTTGGTTGTGTTCAGAATTAGAAATTTGTTTAGAGAACTCTATAGGATATTAGTCAAAATGTTTTCCTTAGTATTGTTAATTATCCAACTTAATGGTGACAAGGTGTTTTACTGCATGCAAGAAAAGGTGTGAGTTCCTTATATATACAACAGACCAGTATTGTGGTACAATGATAATTGTATGTTTGAGATCTGGTGTCAAGAGAGAGAAATTTTATGTACTTTTGTATAAAAGCAACTGTGAATGAGATTAAGTTGTTGTGTTTGAGGTAGATACGTGTGTGACTATCAGTGGAAATGAAATGTGTGTGTTAGGGGGTTCGGGTGGGGTGGGGGGGATAGACATTCTGTGATACAGTTAACCCTTTTAATAATGATATGGTATACATTTTCAGAATGCTGTTTAACAGATTAACAAGTTGATAATAGTTCAGTAATGGTCTCTGGATTTTATTAGGACTCTACTGTACATGTGTAAACACTACTACATGACCTCGCTACATAATCTCTCTCAGCAATTATATATATACCTAACTTAAATTGGCTGTTCTTCCACCAGGAAACATTGTAATTTCATAATCTGATTTTTTATGATATATCATGCAGAATTTTGATTCCATCAAATCATGAATATAAATATTTGAAAATTCACTAATAATATATGACATCTTCCTTAACTGTTTCAATGACTGTTATATCATTTCAAATGCTAGCTAGCATAAATTTTTATTTCATCCCATCTTAAATAATATTTATGTCCTATTGTTTACTCTTATTTCAAGATATATAATAATATTGTCTGTTTATATATAATGTATTGTCTGAAGACAATAATAGTTAACAATTAAGAATTTAAATTAATAATGGTTAACCTGTTGTGTCCACGTTGAATTGGTTGAAATATTGTTTATTTATACAGTCACTAAACTTATTGACTGACTATTAAAAGATCAGTTAATATATACATTGTTATTTATAAAAACATCCGTTAACCATTCAAGTTACTATATTAATACCTATCCATTATTTTTCTATGTTTATATGTACAATTTTAGATCTGGGTGTGTTATATAATACTGTGTGTACTACATACATGTAGATGCTAGTCATCATGTGTATATTGTTATGAACTCCATGTGGCATAATGTTGTTATTGTTGTCCGTTTACCTGAATTTAATTCACAACACGTGCATGATTATTAATAAAATGCATTAAAACGAGATTGTGTTTTGTATTGCAATACAATACATCTTGATAAAGGGAGCTAACCCTGTTTGCTTTGTGGTAGATTTCTTCGTCTAGCCACATTTTAGTTGCATATACTAAGTTCTAATATAAATATAAATGCTTTTGAATTTAAATATAAAAAAAACTATATCAACCGAAAAGTAATATCTGATTCTAGTACTGGGGACAACAAATACACCTCTATTTCAATACACTGTACTAGTTGAATATATTTCATAATTAAAATTTTAAAATCCATCCCGGTGAGCTACATATTTCGTGAGTTATCAATAAAGCAAGAAAAAAACTGCACTGCACGTGCAAGGAAAAAATATACATTTGCATATTATATATATTGTAAACCAGGTACATGAAACACATTCGTTCTACGTGCAAACGTATTGTCTTGGTAATGTCGTGCGTATACTTAATGCTACTGTACATTGCGTTTTACGTGTAGTCAATATATACTCAGTATATACTGGTAAATTTGTACGTTGTTTCAAGGCCAATGCTTTGTACAAAGAATACAAATACAGATAGCTTACTTTCTGTCCTCGACTGTGTAGATTATAACTGATACGCCGGACCCTGACTAATCAGGGTCAGTTACCCGGCATGGTGCTCGTGTTGGTGTATCCTTTATAGGTTTATCAGTCGAGGCCAAGTTCAAGTTCATGTGGACCAGAGTTCGAACGCATGTAATTTTGTTAATGATCTTTGACTTTCTAGAACAGACGTCCTCTATGTGGACGATCACGTGGTATTTTAATATATACATATTTTAATCCGAGTTTAATCGGCCGTTATTCCGATCTAATATGTACATTTTGTAATGTTAAAAAATTACCGCGTTTATACAATCATGTGCTTGATGAGAAATTCCATATAATCTCCCGAAAAGTAGAGAAGGAAATTAGAATATTCTCATATAAAGGTGCTTATATATTCCTTGTTGTATGTATCCATGTATTTACATTAAGATGGCCACAGATTATCATAAAAAGCATGACGATAACAGATTATCTTACACAACATCGTCGTAATATCGGAAGCAGTAGATGGCGCCACCTGGGCGTCACTGACAGCGCGAATAACAACAAAATAGTTCCAAAAGCATTTCGTTTAATTGATGAATTTTAAGTTATTTTTATGAAAACATATATATTGTTACATTACAATTAAATATCTTGCATGTCTGTTCACATTTGAACCACGTTTATGTAATGTTATAGATGTACAGAAGCAAACATAGCACATTTCTAATCAGTATAAACAATAATAACACCATATACTCTTAGAAAAGCCTGACTGCCAGGCGTAAATATCGATAAATACAAACATTGCGGTTGGTACCTTGTAAACTTCATCTTCAGACTAGTGTCAATGGTTATGTATAGTCTTCGTTTCATTCGTTCAGATGACATTTCTGTAATACACGAATTCCATAATAGTGATGAGTACTGACACGGACGACTGACAGACTGCAATGTATATAGAACTAATAAAGATTTCGAACAAGCACGTGTTATATAGAAATTTAATGTCAGATGTAGAGTGGAACGAGTGAACACCTCACACTAAATTAGTACGTACGTGTTGGGCACTATATCATGTCACTTACTATGATTATCTAGCGTCTAGAAATTTTAAAGAAATGCAAAGCTATGATTCCATTTTCCGATATATCATCTGCAGTCCCTAACGCATTGGCCGCCTCTAATTACGAACATCGTGATTGATGATCCTTCCCAGAACGAGTTTTGGATTGTGACGTCACATTCATTGTGACGTCAGAAATTCTTTATCTTAGATACTGCGAAGCAGACTCTAAACACATCTTTAACTCTCACTAAAACTTCCTCAATTCTCCAGAAAACCACTATGACAATCAATGTACTCAAAAAGATTTCAAGCTTCAAGGTGGCGCCACTACTTGTATATGAGTACATTAAGGGATTGGATTCACGACGATGTCCAGAGGAGCTTTTCCGAGCCAGGAGGGGATACGAACAATGTAAACTGAAATTTTTGACCACCGTAGTGGACAGCTGGGATGGCCATGTCTCAGTTAATGGATTACTTTCCCAAC